ATTCAAGTACGTTATGGTTCTGGTTGATGCTTCAACACGATGGATGTGTGTCACATTATTTTCCACACAAAACACAACATTCACAATACTTCTAGCCTATATTTTATGTTTTAAAGGCTTATCATCGTGATTATCTCATCAATCCTATGACTTGGTAATGTTGGATAATTTACATCATATGATTCTTACATGTGTATTAGGATTGATCTAAAACATCATATACCCCCCCAACATATATATATATATATATATATATATATACACACACACACACACACATAAATGTAGTCTCACAAAATCTGTCATCTAAAGGATATAAATGAGAGTTAAGGCATTGGTATGTGTACTAATTTGCCATATCTGAATGGGATTATGCGATATTACATGCAACTTACTTATTCATTTATAGACCACTACTAGCCAACCAGTCTCACGTGTATTGTTGATCCTCTCTCTCAATAATTTGATGATAATCCTTTTTACCTTACGAAGTGTACTATCTCTGTATTCAGCTTCAACAATCATCACTAAGTTTGTTCAATGATTGCTGACCATGTAGTGTAATTCTCTCAGAGACAAGTATTCTTCAGAAAGACAAAACTCACACCACAGAACCTTCAGCGATATCAAAGATAACGCTGAAGACAAAGACAAGCAAGTTCGTGATCTGATATGGTTTTCAGTGATAATAAGCTCGTCTATACAAGTGTGAAATCTACACAAGATTCAGTGAACACTGACGAGACCTCAGTGGTATTCCAGTGTCAACGATCAAATAAATCTTGTTGAATTGCATTTGGTAATGGGTATAAATAGATGAGAAGTTCTTCCTTCTCATTAGACTTCCAAATCCCAGTCCAAACCAAGCTTCCTTGTCTTGAAGATCTTTTTACCGAAAAAGATACTCCTCCCTCTAACTCTCTATCTAAGAGAAAGACCTTCACTGTAACCAGTGAAAAGCACAAGACTTCTTAACCCATTTCTTTTAGCAAGTCTTTTCTTTCTTGCTTTTTGTAACTTGTGTGTATCTTTGATCTTTTAGATAAGTTCTGTATCTTATCTTTTCGGCAAACAATTTGTAAAATTATGTATTGATCTTCTTTATCAATAAAGAATTTTTAAAAGTGAAAGTTGTTGTGTTTGTATTCATCCCTCACCCCCTCTACAAATTGTTACCTATAAACTTTTGTAGATCCGGCTGAGACCAACATGTACAAGTTGGTAACGGAATATTAGCTTGATATTTTACATTTACGCATGTTTGGTTGTGTAGTATATGTGTTAACTGACCCCTTATGGTTATGGCACAACAAAATGGCTCCTTAAGGATGATTAAGTATATGTTGTTTATGAATCCTCAACAATTACATTCGCTTATTAGAACCCTTGACGGGTACTCTTTACCACTAGATTTGTTGATTATCATTTTGATGAGTTAGTCTTCTCGTTATTAGCGGGAGATAAGCAAAAGGATTTTCCAAGGGAACGATAGGACGTGTCAATATTCTCACTTTGTATTATTTTGATCACACAAACTTCACTATGCAAAGTTGAAATCAAATGAATCAGACTCGATGCTAGATACGTTTAATGTTATTCCAAAAGCGACAATATCACACATACCCAGCTGCAAATATACTTACAAGGTTAAAAGTCCTCAAATAGAGGGCAATATGTCGTTGTAAAGTGAGTTGCAACCACACATAGTGGAGAGTAGTTGAGGTCGTAGCTCTCAAACGAAAATGAGGGAAACTACTTGATTCGATAAATACTTGTATAAAGGAAGAGAAGAGCAAGGCACAAACATTTATCATCAATACATAAACCTCCCATGAGATTGTCTCTAATTATAGTTGTGTCTATGAATCATTACTGGAGGACATTCAAAGTTAATATTGATTCCAAAGATCAAATAAATCTCAAATAAATTATGTTAGGGCATACAAGTCAATGGACAGATCATAGAATACTCATTGATGATATATTCATATATAGTGTTGCTCATGAGATGATCATGATGACATCAAACCATGCTCATTTAATTAATGTCAACAAAGAGCAGATTGACCTAAATGAAAAGAAGCAATCCGGGAAGAATTATATTCTTTGACAAATGGACGACTATTTGGTCCGGTAGCTAATCCACCAAGTGCAAATCTTATAGAATGTAGATGAATTTTTGTTAGAAAACATAGTGTGAATAATGTCCTAATGTATAAGGCTCTTTTTTAGGACAAGGTTTCTCATAACGCCCTGAATTGATCACAAGAAGACATACTCTCCCGTGACGGACATTATAACGTTCTGCTATTTAATTAGCATAATAATTTTCAAAGGACTAAAATTGCAACTCATGGATATGGTTACTACATATCTTTGGGGATCTAGATTCAGTGATATATATATATATATATAAAAGTGTTTGACGACCTTACAGTACCCAAATCAAGTAACTTTAAACCATATAATGCGTTCATAATTAAATTGAAACACAAACTTTACAGATTAAAGCAATTCAGGCGGATGTGGTATATCCGCCTAAGTGAATACTTGATTGGGAAAGGATATAAGAATGATAAAATGTGCCCTTGTGTATGATAAAAAAACAAGTTCTACAATTTTAATTGTAGTTCATTATGTCGATCTTATGCACATAATAGGTACTCTTGATGAAATAAGAGAAACTAATCTACTTGAAATATGAATTTGAGATAAATGATCTTATGAAAACTTGGTTTTGTCTGGCTATTGGAGCTAGGACACAAAGCTTGTGGAATATTAATCCATCAATTTGTGACATGGACAAAGTGCACCCACATGATCAGGTGAAGTGTTAGATTAAATGGAATATATATTTTGTCAATAGAATGATAACACAGAGGTGATGGGAGTTGGAATTTCCTATCTAAATACAATCGGCACATTATTGTACTTAGCACAATACACTCAACCGTATATTATATTTCTTAGTGAACTTGTTAGTTAGATTTAGCCCAACGCCAATGCAACATCATTAGAATGATATCAAGTTAATCTTTTAGAACCATTGGCATGGGCTTATACTTTCCCTACAAAGAAATGGAATCGAAAATGGAACTTTAATACCTACTTAGAATGTGAGTGACAAAAGTACCAGCCCTTGTAGAAAAACAACAAACAATTTCTTGGTATGTCTTTGTTGATATTAGGTATCTGTTTGACCCATACAAAGGTTGTTCCCAAACTAGATACAGAATTACCACAGGGAACACACTGATTGCTTGGAAGTAAACTAAACAAACCCTTGTAGCTACCTCCTTGAATTATTCTAAGAATATCACTTCACATGAGACTGTTCAAGAGTGTACATGGTTAAGGACTATCATTGCATATAATAGAGGAGCTAGTGTTTTGGGTTTAACCATTATCCTACCTGCATATATGGAAATAATGTATCAATATCGAAGAAATGAAAATAAGATGCATTAAGGGTGATAACACAAGGCATCTTACACTTGAGGTTTTTTTTTTTACAATCAACAATAACAAACTTTCCTCAAGATTTAAGTGAATCAGGTAAGAAACGAGGAGAATGTGACATATTTGGTTACCGAATTATTACTTAAAACATAATTGGGAAGATGTAGAAAGTATTGAAATGTAGAGACTTTCCAAACTCTCTTGATTGATGCATAAATCAGAGTAGTAGACAAAAAAGGGAATCTACTCTACATGTAATATCGGTATGTTGTATTCTTTTTCCTTCACCCAATGTTTTATTTTCCCCATTGGATTTTGTTCCTTGGAGTAAAGTTTTAATGAGACAACCGTTTATATATTGTCTTGCTTTTCTACCTCTCATGATTAATGTACAAATCAGAGAAAATATTAGACTAAAAGAAAAGTCTATTTTGCAAAAAATCTGGTATTTTGTACTCTTTCTTTCGTCATATTTTTATTTTCCCACCCAGTTTTTTTTTATTTTGGTGTAAGATTTTAACAAAATAATAATCGTGCACCATCATTCCCTTAACTCAACACAAAGGGAAGTATTATAAAATAAATGTATCATCATCAAAGGATGTGACGATAAATATAGTACCATGTCCCAACTCCAATATAATAAAATACAATTGTTGTTCTAATGTTATTAAATAACAACGTATTCTAAAAAAATCAATTTGGTCATTAATGCTTGTATACTATCTTTTTCTTATTAAAACATGTTTGGAATAAGATAACTCACTAAGGGGTGTTTGGGATTGTTTATAAAAACAAATTTTTGACTTATTTTAGTGTGACACCGGTAATAAACACTTTTGAGTGTTTGGATAAACAACTTATACCGGTGCCAAACCAGTAATAAGGTGTTTTTGAAGAAGTTAAACCCTTCTGACTTATAATAAGTTGATAAGTGATTTTGTAAAAAAATACAAGTTGTTTCAAATAAATAATTCCAAACACCCCTAACTTAAAAAAGAAACATATCATAATTTATCTAATTTAATCATTTTTCAATAGTACTTCATTACTAAAGTTTGAATCTAGACTCCGTACATACATATTTTTCAGACATGTACAAAATTATCAATTGATTTTGTTGACATGAATTTTGATTGTTTTAAAAACAAATAAATAAAACCCCAATTTTTTCACATCTACGAGTCGACTACACCTACAACACTTGGATGTGCTTAGGAAGCGCGAAGAGCTAACCCACTAACGCCGTGGCGAAGGTTAAACCTGCTACATCCACGCCGTAAATGGACGCCCTACCTGATCCAATTCAAATCCATTCTCCTTCCCCTACCCTGCCTCTTCCCCCTCCCCCTTAAGCGTCATAAAACGTCCCCCACCACCCTCTTCATCTACAAAAATCATCAACTCCTCCGACCTCATTAATCGGAGTTCAAAACCCCTACACTACACTTGTCCATAATTTTACGAGATTAAATGATAGAAACAGAATCCACCGAGTGGTGTAGGTGAAACGTGAAAATAAAACAAACGGGCAACAATGGCTATCGATTTGACGCCTACAAAACGATAGGCCAGAGATGAATCCCCGGTGGGGGCGAAAATGTGAGGGGTTCATTGTCTCTGTCTAAACTCTAAACTACACATTGATGAAGCTTGATTGTTATTTAATGATATTATCTTTTTTTAGGGGCCGTTTACCTATAACACTTACCCGGGTAAAATTCAACACTACCGCTTACTTACTGGGCAAGATTTTATTTACTAAAACGCATCGTATGCAACAATTTATCCCGGCAAGCGTTAACCATGGTAAGAGTCTTCGTCCTCAATTACCGGGTAAGACTTTCGATTCTTGCCTTCGCTCTTACCGGGTAAGATTCTTAGTCCTTCCCATATTCATCCGGTAAGTAAAGTGACTTGGTAAACGCTTACCGGGTAAGCATTTGGTAAATAGCACCTTAATTAACACCACCAGTGAAATCTAGATTAAGTTTTAAAACACAACTGAATTTTATAAATTGTCTTAATCTTGTCATATAAAAAATATATCATATATTTAATAAAAAATCACAATAATGAATCAATCAAATTTTTTACCTTATGGTTGGAGGAAGGACAGGTCGTAACCGAGTCCAAACTTTATCAGTTGGGCCCTTTTCTTTATTTCGAAAACGTATGATACAACATTGAACCAAAAGCCACCAAAGGTCTTTGGCCTAGTTGTATTCGGGTTTAAAGCTGAGTGAAGGTGAGATGGGTAAGTGAAATCATTTGTCGTATATACTTCAAACAAAAAGCATTGAACCAAGCGGAATCGAACCAAAATATATGCATGGTTTGGTTCAAATTTCAAACTCACGACCATTAACTGGTGCCTAATCCTTACCCAGGATCAGGAAGTTATATAATTGACTGTTATTGTAAGTTACAAATTATCTTCCTATTCTAGAACGAAGTGTTAAAAATTTAACATCATAATAACAGACATCTAAATATACCAGTATATATATATATATATATATATATATATATATATATATATATATATATATATTCTGTTCGGAAATCATATTTATAAAAGAAGGGTAGGAATGAAGTAAGGAGAATATTACTAGTTTTGGAAGAAGAATTTACCTCCCATTAGAAAGAGATCTTGTATGTAAGAGAACAGAGACCTTGTTATTTTGCTGAACCAGGAGCTGTTGAGTTGAGAGAAGGATGGGGATCAAGAAGGTTCTCCTGAGATGCATTCATGTTGATCCTTATTCTACATTAAGAACAACATGATTTTGGGGTTAGTCAAATATAATATCAACATTTGAAAGGTTTCCTTTTATTTTTTGATTTTCAAATATGAAATCTAACCTGTTGTGGATGTTTACATATTCATCTGTTTCATCCAATATCTCCTCCTGAACAAAATCATGTTAAAGTTAATATTCAGTTGATCTGTAGATGGACAATGACATAGCAGAGTTTGACCGGAAGACACACCTTCAGGATTGATAAAACCAAACGAAAATGGAGAACATCATGGAAATTGAACAAGTAACATGAACCGAGATTGATTGTGTTTTTTTTTTTTTGTATCAAAATCTATAACAAGTTTAAAAGTCTTGAATGTAAACTCAAAAGGGTAGTTACATGGATCATGTCTTCATGTGACTTTTAATGATGCATGCTACTAGAATGTATTTACTTTTAGGGATACCTGAAGAAGCTCTTCAATAACATCTTCCATGGTGATCACACCAACGACAATCTCGTTTGATGGGTACTTGGGAATGGGATTGTTCTCCAAATCCAGTATGCAGAAGGAGCAACCTCTATGCCTCTTCTTGAAAGCAGGAGTTGAAGGTGGACTTCTCTTTGCCTGTTGATCTCCATCAGTCTTCATCTCAACATCATGTGAAGTTGATTTGTTTGCTAGATTTTCAGTTTCTGAAATGGAAGTAGATGATTAGAAACAAGGATTTACGCACATATTCATGTCAAATTAAATCTCTGATCATGACAGCTCAGGATTTGCATAAGATAATAGGAATATGTTTACTTTTAATAACTTGGTCTTATTTTAGATAAAAGAAGTTCCCTGGGAAATTGAAAACAGAAAGAAATGATGAAAGAGAAGTATAGATATTTCAAGGAATTGGTGCAACAAAAACGTCAAAACTGAAGATCACTCCATCCCCCAGAAATCGAAAATGGAAGAAGAAAATAAAAATAAAGATAAATAAATAACTAATAACAAGAGGAAGCCACTCAATTCAAATATGTATGCGTCAATATATAGAGATGTCAAGATTAAGTCTCTCACTCTCAGAATCCTTGGACTTTTTTAGCCGCTCTTTTGTCTTGTTCAGATCTTTGTACACAACAGCGATATGGCTGTGCCCTTTCTGGAATTCGTTTAAGATGTCATAAAGAGGCATGTTGTCTGTAACCCTGAAAATAGTACACATGCAATCAAAATATGTTCTATCACAAGTTCAATCAAACACAAATTAGCACAGATTGAAACAGATTTGTCACACTTAGACATAGCTGGAGTAGAGCCAAAGAAATTGTATTCATATATGGTTCCAAAATTACTGTCTTGCTTCATTGAGGTATTATATGTGAGAGGGAAAGGAACAACAGGCTCCATCCTAAAATCAGTTTGAGTGCCCTACCCTTCTTCAGCTACATTTGTTGATTATTACGGATATCCTTCGAGTATGCAAGAAATTGAGACACTTGTTTCAACACCGATCTCTTGCATCATGGTGTTATTCTTGTTTCATTATGGACTATGTTTCTCTTCCTTTTCCAATCTGGGCTTATGCCCTCTAGATCTTGTGCAGTTTTCTTTTATTTATGCAGTTCTTTGAATTTATGCCCTCCCACAGAAAGAAAAAGAAAATATAAACACCAGCAGTACCACCACATCAAACTGCAGATAAGTATCAATTCGTCTAATGTGCTCATTAAAGTTACCCTAATCTATGCAACAATGGAGAATAAATGTGGGGTCATTTACTAGGATGAAAGAAATCTTTTTAAAGAACTAATACAGGTCTCACATTTTTACAGCTTTTCTTTAATGCCTCTTGTCCTTTAAAGGGTTTTATCTGGCATGATCCAAAAACCACTGTAAATCAATGGATGGAATGAAAATATAAAGGTTTGACACCTGAAATAATAAGCCAACACAACACCCTTCTACCCCAACTAGCTCAAGACTTGTTTGACCTCTTGATGTATAATAGTCATTTCTCATTGTTCGATTATAGGCAGCAACGTTTGTTTTCACATGATTCCATTAAATGATATATTAGATTCCGTACCGTGGAACCTTCCTTAATAACATCTTTCTGAGAGGAACTGCATCATCTGGGTTAACTGCCAAGAGATTCTTAACCTGCATGGATAAAAGATCAAAAAGTGGCACTATAATGCGAACAGGTAGATTTTTGAAGAGGAAATAGAACACGTTGTTTTAAAATTGGTTGTCCAACTTAGATAAAACATGATGGCAATTTTGAATTCTAAACCAAGTTGGACACATGTCTTCCCTGGAAATCAAGGGACCTCTGGTTTATCACCAGTTCTAAATAAGCAGATATAAGGATTTCATGATATTGATCCACATTTCAACCAATATTTAGATTAAATAAATAGTGATTGTTGATCCAGGGGAATCTATGGAATATGGTTTCATATGCATTGGTTAATCTTCTAAGTACAAAACCACAAACTCTGCTTTTATTTGTGTTTGTATACCCAAAAGACAATCATGTAATTGTCATAATTTGAATACTTACTCATGAAACTTATTAATAAAATGCATAGTCCAATTTATTGTCTTTATCTTATGTTGTGTGTTACACTTAAACATGATAATAAACCTAGAATAATTGCATTCTTAAATATCCATAGTCAAGTATTTCTTCTTGTCTCGTAAAAATGTTGAATACTCCTTCAATCTTGTACCAAGAACCTTCATCAAGGGGATTCTCTCAACTCATCCGCCCGTGGGTTTTTGCATTTTGGGTTTTCAACGTAAATCTTGGTGTTCTGCTATCTGTCATTTAATTAATGTTTGTTTGTTGTTTGTCACACATTATTGTAGGGTTGATAACATACTAGTTTAGAGTACAAACCTATTCCAATTATTTGGTAGATCCATGTTTTATGATCACTAGTTGCTATTGAGAACTAGATTTATTGTTTGACTTGTACTTGGAGCATCATCGGTGGTCTAAGGAAGGTTACTAGTGTACCCCGTAACCTCGTTTTATCACCCTTGTTAATATTTAAAATGGTTTCAGTTCTTTCTGCCTGTTTTTTAAAAATCCTTCGGGTAAGTGCTCATTTACCTAAATTATCTCAATACTGTATCACATTCATTATTTATTTCAAATCTTCTTTATTTGTTTAGAAAACTAACTTTTACTTTCTTCCGAAATTTATTTTCAACTAGTATTTTAAATATCTCTAAGTCAACGCATGCTTTTAGATTAGTTTTAGTGAAAATGGGAGAGTACTAGCTTGTCAGACAAGTCGATTTCACATTGATAGATTATGGTATATGGGTAACATGTCATAAATGGAAATATGACAGCCACTGATAAGAACAAAAGTTACCAGGATAATTCCAATAATATTTGTTCGGTCTCCAGAATAAACAGGAACTCTGCTGTGACCCATGGTCATAATTGCATTCAAGGTATCCCTGTCCAGGCACAAGAAAGTGTATTAATGCACAAAGCACATTTGTGAACCTTATATAATATGAATATTAGGATATAAACCCACAAAGTAAGAGTTCCATCCAGGTCAAGGGAAAATGCCTTCGATATAGGGGTCATGGCATCCTTTGCAGTTTTTTCAGTCAGTTCGAGCGCTCCAGCAATTATAGTTGTCTCGTCATGCGTCAAATCTCCTCCTTTCCCAGCCTATCAGCACACAAGAGTGGGTGAGCAGTATTCTACCAAACATAATTGATGTAGTAACTACCAGTAGAAAAATATATTCACATTAGTATTTCTTTTTTGAAGTTTCAAATTCTTAGTCATCATTAGTTGTTTAGACTACCTCATTGCCATGAAAATCCACAAAAGTTTTCAACTCTGCTCTGCGTAGAAGGGCGGCATGCCCCTTGCCCAACATCCAATCTAGAACCTGGATAAAATTACAAAACAAATAGATGAATATATGTGAAAAGAAGACCTAATTACACACAACTCGATAATGGAAAAGGAACTTCAAATCACCTTGCTGATAGGATAAGCAATAGGGAAGAAAAACCATAGGAGGAGACGGACCAAAGGTGCCGCTGTTGCTCCAACTGTCAAGCCATAGCGTGTAGAGATCGCTTGTGGCAATATCTGTTAAGAAAAAGTTGCATGCAAGAACAGTTGATCATAGAATAGAACAATAATAAGTTTCATTTGGAAACACATATTCCTCTCTTTGAGTTTAATGATTACAAACCTCTCCAAACATCAGGATCAGTGTTACAGATATCAGAATTGCGGCCCATGGAGGAACAAGTTTATCCAGAAATATTGGAAGAGACTACAGAAGAGAGTAACAAAGTAATCCAGATTATCACTCAATATAAAGGACAAATGTTATCAAGAAATTGTTGCACAAACCTCCATTGCTAAAGCGTTGCCAATTAAGAGGGTACAAAGCAGTAGATGTTGATTCTTAACCACCGGGAATATTTTAGCTGCCACCAAGATATCTCCAGATATTAGTATAACAAAAAAATATAAAGATTGCATAAATGCATGTCACTCTCCCATAACGGATCTAGGAATTTCAGAGTGGGCAGTTTCCTTTACAAAGTATTGTGCATATCTATACACCTAATAAATAAGTAACTTTGGGGACACGTGTCATGTTTCTGAGCGACGGTTACTGATTTTTTCCGCCTAAACATGTATCTAGACACAATTTTCACTTACGGTTTAAATAGGTCTATTTAAGTGACATATGTCCCTCTACACGTTTATTTTCCCGTTTTCTTGGTTTAACTGATTTCCCATACTATTTAGAAATCTCTGATAGGTTCTCTATAGTTTCTAAATCTGGAGGCTTCTTTTCCAGGCTTAGAAGTCTAAACTCTGAACATGTATGTAGACACAATTTACAACACTGGTTCAAATGGGCCTATTTAATTGACATTTGTCCCTGTAAACATAACTGATTTCCGTATGAAAAGGGATTTCTTTTCAAATACTTAAAAAAGCAAAAGTCTGGATTTCCATTCCTCAGACTTGTAAGTCTGAACTCCTTTTCCTCAGTTAAAATTCAGAGTTGTCTGTTAGACTTATAAGGCATACCAGTATAAAAGTTTGAGGACAAGTCTGAACTCCTTTTCCTCAGTTAAAATTCAGTGTTAGTCTTCCAGACTTGTAAGACGTATAAAAGACTGAGGACAAGTCTGAACTCCTTTTCCTCAGTTAAAATTCCGAGTTGTCTTCCAGACTTGTAAGACATACCAGTATAAAAGTCTGAGGCCAATTCTTAACTCCTTTTCCTCAGTTAAAATTTAGAGTTGTCTTCCAGACTTGTAAGACATACAAGTATCAAAGTCTGAGAAAATCAGAGTTGTAAGTCTGAATTTAACTCTGAAATGGCCTCCAAACTTCTAAGTATGTAGGAATTCAAATGAAGTCTGACCTGTGAATTTAACTCTGAAGTGGCCTCCAGACTTCTAATTCAGACTTGTAAGTATGAATTTAGGAATTCAAATGAAGTCTGAGCTATGAAGTGTTTCGAAAATCCAATGACCAAATCGTAGTTTTTCCCCTCAAAAAGGTCGAAAACTGCCATACGACATTTAAAAACCCGGGTTTTCAAAACAGAGTCAAAACCGGGTTTAATTTGCTGCCGCCCCTTGGACCCCGCCACCAGGGGCGTTGCCCCCGGACCCCCGTCATTTAGGGGTTTCACCCCTAAATCAAAATAAACTCAAACAAGTATGCACTCCGCACCTTTCTTACTTGTTCGATATTTATCATGATTACATTGGTGAACAAATTAATCTCATTACATTTAAATAACATTATGATACAAATCACCAACATGAAGTCATCAGATATTGGTATCTCTCAGACTTACAACATAACTCTGAATTGTTCTGTTCCAAACTTAGTTCTATAGTTTATTCCCAGACTTAGAATACAACTCTGAACTCCTCTTCAGAGTTGAAGTTCAGAGTTACATTTCTGAGTTATAAGAAGTCAGAATTCTTGTGACTTAGAGTTATGCTCATAGATATTTTCTAGACTTAGAAGACAACTCTGAATTCCTCTTATTCAGAGTTAAGTCCAGAGTTATTTTCCAGCCTAACAATAGAACTCTGAATTCATGTGTTTCAGAGTTAATGTTCATATTTTTCTTTTAGACCTGAGGAAAAGTCTCAACTCATTTTCCTCATTTAAAATACCCCATGTAATACATGGGTTCGAACCTAGTACATTAATAATACATAAAAGGGTTGGAGAACAATTAGACTGGTACCTTCTGCTTCTGGAAGCATAGAAAAAAGACAACCACCTATTTGAATTTGGTTGACCAAATTTTTGGTTTCCATAAACATGACTACTTTGACCCTATAATGATTTTTTTTCCAGGGAGTGGTCATTTCTAAAGGTATTGCTAAAATTTTATACAGTAAAATGGGGGCATTAAATAAAAAAAAATTCTATGACAATGCTCCCACAATGTACCATTTCCTGCACCCCAAGGAGATTTCTCCAACATACAAAAATCACATTTGCAAGAACAATTTTAGAAAGCAAGTGCCTGGATATCAATAGTCCAATGCATAAAGGTTTAGATGATAACAAAGTTGATGATGGTGATTGTATGAAGCTCCCTGTGTTAGATTTGATGATTGAGATTGAAGATGATGATGGAGAGAAACATTTCTATGTGTTTATGAAGATGAAGAAACCGTAATGTTACAAAAAGGGAAACTATATATGTTGAATTTTTGTGTGATACTCAACATAGGTGGCCTACTTGGGCAAACCGACCCAAGGTTGGAGGTCACATAGAGGCCAAGTGCTTTTGGTACACTTTTTGCGACTTGTGTCTGTGCGATCTAACGATGCGTTGCAGGTCGCATCAAGCAAAAATCTAACCGGTCAATTATTGTATGCGACCTCAGACCCAGGTCACATAAAGCATGTGACAGGATATATCGATTTTTTAGGGCTCATTTGGTTTAGAAATCAATTGGAAACATTGAGCAAACACTTTGGTGATCTCCCCTCTCGCAATCAGAAGTAGATAGATTGTTTTGGTTAAATTTGTTGGTTGTAATCGTTTAGGAACATTTCACCGTAACCTTCTACCTATTTGAGCATAATAAATCGTCTAGGGTTCGTTATTGTTATATGTTTGTGTCATTACATTATTGCTTTGTTTACTTACTATTGTCATGACACAGTGTACGTTGATCCATTTTGTTCCCACATTTGGCTGTTGGGTGGTTTGCACACATTTTCCCTAGTTGGACCTTCGTGTGTTGGCTTTCAGTAAAAATCCCAACAATATGTACCCATCTATAATTACAAGAATGAGATTAATGGTCCCTAGACTATAAGTATATACAGAAGTTAACACATTGAATCACATGATAGTTTTTCCAATCACATCTAAGACCTAAAAAAGATTAGCAAACTTGGAAAAGTACATCATGAGCTTGAATCCACATAGAATACCCAAAATATGGAAATCCCCAATACCCCCAAAGAGAAAATTACTTTATAGCCTTTCAAGGTTCTTGAGCTAATTGGGACATGGAACCAACAGCCATGAATTGAATCTGTTCAAAATCAACAAAGGCCAGGTGATTAACTACAAGAATGGTGGACAGCTAACACACTCACTAGCAAACATGGGTGCAGTCATCAAGCAAACCTTCACTGAAGAAGGTTTAACTCCCTGAATCACAAATTAAATGAGCTTTTTTCACTTCTATTCAGGAGTCAAAATATTTTCTCGACCCTTTAAATCAACATTTACATCCTATTTTGTAGTTTTTTAACTTCATATAAGTTCAATATGTATCTCTCACATGTTTTGGTGAAAAAACTTAACTTAATTCTTTGTTGATAATATGATTTCCAGCTCAAAACAATGATCACTCTTGATTACTTCGGGGGTATGAGAGTGTCTAAGCATACATTCAATTACACGTCCAGTCGTCCAGATTGCTCTTTTGGATTGTTGATCACCCAAAAGAAAAGGGGAAAAAACAGAAAATTTCAATTCCTGGAGGAAGACACCAACCAACTGAGACGATCCAATTAAACCTCACACACACACAAAATTCAACCGAAACACACAAAGCAAAATTCAGAGCTCTCACAGAATTGATGCCATCTGTCTGTGTGTATATGGTAAGAAACGGAACGGAAGAACTTACAAGCATGGATGCGATCTTTGGGGCGGCCGGACTGGATGAGGACTTCGAGGTCAACGAGTCCAAGGGACATAAGTCCGAGAGTAAGACCTGCCATCAACCCTGCAAAAGCTACCAGACCGACGATTACCAACAAACACACAAAGAATTCCGTCTCACAGCACGACACTTCCCCCATCTCCTTGATCTCTTTCTTTCTGAATTTGTGAATTAAGTGAAGAGAATTAGAGTCATTGATTTGTGCACAGGGAAAATGGAAAATCGATCGAGTATGCAGTGGTTGCTGGCAACTTCAACAAGAATATTTGGACGATATTCGTCAATTTCAAGAAGCAGCTTTTATGATTTCTCCGACAAATGATTAGAATAAGAATGTTGTAAGCCCTTCCTTTACTTAAATTTAAGAGTAAACTTCAATTTTGGTCCTTCAGGTTTAATAAAAATGTGAAAGTGGACCTCAACTTTCATAAGTATAGAAATCATCCTTCGTTTGTAGTTTGCTATGAAAGTGGTTCGTTGTTACTAATTCCGTCAAAAAAAATCTGTTAGAAGAAGGGGCATTTATGTCGTTTTATCAAAATCTTTAATTTCCTTTTAAAAGATAACATAAAACTATATTTTATTTTTATTTTTTTGTTTGAAAAATGGAAAATATATATAATTATATTATATTATAGTATAATTTATGGAAAAATCTAAAAAAACCAATGGACTTTAGTGTTTGGAATGATTAAGGGGGTGTTTGGGATTTGCTTATTTAAAACAACTTATGTTTTTTTTTTGTAAAAGTGTTTATTAACTTATGTGGTATCAAACCGGAGTTAAATAAAACAGGGTTAAAAATGTAAACTGGTAATAAGCAGTTTTTCATAAGTCATGAAGGATTAGCTTATCAAAAACAGTTTATTACCGGTTTGGCACCGGTATAAACAGTTTTTTTTTTCTTATCCAAACACCAGAAAACAACTTATTATCGTTGTCAGACTGAAATAAGTTAAAAAACGGCTTTTATAAGCAATCCCAAACACCCCCTTCAACAATTTTTTGGAACAAATAAGTTCTTAGACATTCCAAAACATGTTAAATAACTCATTGGACTTTCTAAAACCTGTTAGATACATTCTTATGACCTATACAACTGGTTAATGTGGTAAAATAATGAAAAAAGTCCAAAAAAAAAAAACCCAATTAACATTCATATTTGAACGATTAAGTGTTTATACATTTTTTGAACCAAAAAGTATTTAGATCTATAAAATTAAACAAATATAACAAAAAAAACTACTTACATTTACAAAAAAAATTGTTCATTGGCTTTTTTTTCTTGTTTTTTCCATTATTTTACTACGTTAATTAGTTTTATATGTAATAAGGATGTATATAACATATTTTAGAAAGTCCAAGGAGTTGCTTAACAGGTTTTGGAATGTCCAAGGACTTATTTGTTCCAAAAAATTGTCCAATGACTTAATCATTCCAAACACTAAAGTCCATTGGGTTTTTTAGACTTTTCCCTATAATTTATATGTATGAATATATATATATATATATATATATATATATATATAATATATCTATATATCTAGGGGCTGGTTCAAATACTAACACAATATTTTGTGCAAACTATGCTAACCCATCTTAATCGTTCATTTTCTCATCCAACGGATATTATTAAATGAGATTAAATAAACAATAATTTAATTAATATATTAATTAATATGTGTATGAACAATTGTTCAAAGGATAAATTGGTCAAAAATTTGTATTAATTAATATGTGTATGAACARTCGTTCATCTTCGTGCCTATATCAAGGTATGAACATTCATGTGAACCCTATGGTGTAAACCCTAGATATATGAACATTAG